ACACTCTAATGGTCGTCTGTTTCACGCAGCAGCAGAATGACAGCATTTTCTTTTTTGTATTTTAGAGGAAAGCTCTTAATTTGAAACCGAAGTATTTTGCTTGGCAGGGATTTTCCTGTGTGGTGGTTTTAGCTGCTTGCAAAGGAAGCACTTGCCTATGTTGTGATGATTGTGTGTATGTGTCTAGAGAGACAGAGAGCTCTACCTGATGCTGCTTAAGTGACTCAATGTTCGTATGTTGATTCATGCTTTTCTTCAGTTTTTTTTTTTTTTAACTACTGCAGAATATTTTAATATAGTTATCTGCTATAAAAAGCCAGGTCAGGAAAATTGCCTTCATGTTTTTATCCTCGGTTACTTTGACACAGTCATCTGCTGTGATGCTCACACCTCACGTGTCAGCTTTGTTTCTATACGTGGATATAAAAATATAGACATGTACTGAGACAGAAATATTATAATTCTGATCATTTGAGTCAAAATTGAATCGGGAGCTTGTGAATCAGAATTGAATCAATTATAAAAATCGGCGACGATACCCAGCCCTAGCTGTAACCCACCGATGTGTAAATCCACCTTGTGTTGTCGCTGCTTTGGGCTTTCAGCCCGTGAGCACATGCCGCTGAGCTTGTTCCACTGGTGGGTGCAGCTCTGGGACGAACTTACTGTTACTCAGCTATGAAAATAATCCAGCGTGAGCCGAGCTGAACTCTGCCTTTTGGCCTCTCTTGCCCTAGTTTTCCCATCTTTGTTTTTCCTCTTTCTGCTTTGATCTACATCTCCTGGCTGTGCTCTGTCTCCATGGTGATGTAAAACCAGCCTGGGGGGGGGAAAAATAAAAATCTTAACACATCTCTGGCTTGTTCTCCCTCCCTCCCTCCCTTTGTTGTCAATCCCTCGTCTCCCTTACTTGGTTTTAGCCAGCCAGGTGCGTCTCGTCAGCCACCTGCTATCCTACCTACTTCCCACCTTTACCGCCACTGTAGAGGGTAGCCATGGCAACCAGCGCCGTGCCAAGTGACAACCTGCCAACGTACAAGCTGGTGGTGGTGGGGGATGGGGGTGTCGGGAAGAGTGCCCTCACCATCCAGTTTTTCCAGAAGATCTTCGTGCCAGACTACGATCCCACGATTGAGGACTCGTATCTTAAACACACAGAAATAGACGGACAGTGGGCCATACTGGACGGTGAGTTCCAAAGAACCAGACAGCTTGTAAATCTTCTATGCTTCTTATTTTTTCCTCCTTTTGTTTCAGTCAGCACAACACATCCATCATCGTGCCACAAGTTAACATTTGTTATTGCTCTTCTTTTGCCTGTAATTACAATCCTGCGGCAGCTGTCTACACTGAGCTTTATATAAAACATCAGCTGTGGTTTTTCCATGTGAGAGAAACTGTGTACAATACCATAATTTTATCCTTTCCCTTTATAATTACTCAATTTATATTTAAAGCATGCAAAAACTCCTGAAAAACAGATCATTTCTAAATTCATCTATCATTGAATATGTTCAGTCTTTTATAAGTGAACTTCTGACCTTTGCAAAGAGAAAATGTCACTTTGTGATGCAACTGTTACGCAAGCTTGTAGCTAAGCCATGAAAGCACTCAAGATAAGGACAGTGGCCCACAGACCCACTTAGATGTACAAATGTCTTTCTCCCAGTGTGCAGTGATTGTGCTGGGGGGCATGAAACTAAAACTCACATGTTGTAGTGACAGGACGTCCACAGTGGCTCTGATAAAAATCACATTTTAAATACTACTGATGTTTGCGTGTGAATCAGTTTTGTTTTAGTCTGATGTATTTTTAATGAACATATGCATGTTCAAAGTGCGATCTTTGCATCAGATGATGCTCGGGGAGTATTTCGTGTACTTGTGTGATTTAAGTGAAGATCCCTGAGACCCTTCTCAGTGTATTAATGCATTTGTCCCAACATGGACACAGTACTGGACACGGCCGGTCAGGAGGAGTTCAGTGCAATGAGGGAGCAGTACATGAGGACGGGAGACGGCTTCCTGATCGTCTTCTCGGTGACGGACAAGGCCAGCTTTGAACACGTTGACCGATTCCATCAACTCATACTACGGGTCAAAGACAGGTAGGAGCAGAAAAATAAACACTTGGACAACCAAATAAAATATTCTTGCAAAGTCCTTTGCAGCCCCTCTTTTCTTTGTTTCTCTTGGAGCAAGTTTTGCAGCTAGTTATTAAAACATGGCTTTAATAACTAGCTGACTATGTCATAACAGTGAGCCTTATCAGCTGAAGATTATACATATGCAGAGAAAGAAAGGAATGCATGGTGCGCTTACTGTATCAGTGCATTATAGGCATTTGTTTATCCATATATAGGCAGTTTATACAAGTTTAAACTGCCACATTTTTGCAACACACTTGGAAAAGTGTGGGCATTTTTTACAGTGTCTTACATGAAAGCACAGAGGATAGTATTTTTTGGGTGGAGAGAATCACTTTTTAGTGTGTTGGTGACTGAACCTGTTTCTTGGCTTTGGCTGGACTGGGGGGGGGGGGTTTCAGAAGTCCTCAGTCAGAGAGGATGGTTACTGCTAACATGGTGCCAAGCAACCTGAGAAGGTATTTAATCATGAGAAACGCTTGAAACCACTGGTGCCACGAACGTTGATCGCACTGTGTGAAAGTTGGAGGCAAGTTGTATGTAGTTTATTTTATTGAACCTTTTTATTTATACTGTTAATCTCATTCAGTATAAATGTCTCATTACACCGTCAGACAGATCTGTGTCAGATGGTGACATAAATGTGCAGTCAGGGCTGTCGGTGTCATGTTGGGTCCAAACGGAGACAAAGAACTGAAATGTTGTGAAGTAAATTTTGCCTTAGATGTCATATATAGCCTTCGATTAGCTTCCCCTTTCCATTTTAGGCACATGCTATCGTACAGAGAGTCTTGGTCTCTGTCCTAGTGTGCCCTTAGTAACACAAAGGGTACGCAGTTCAAAAGGTTTGTTTGCAAAAGCTATACGAGCAGTCTCGGAAAGCACCAAAATTTCAGCTGAAAGTCTGTGTGAACCACTCTGTTAAATATAGCAAAAGAGGAAGTAGTTCATCATATTCATTAAAGACCAAACTTTGCCCTCGCTGACTCGGTCCGCGCTGAGGGGTATGGTTATCATGTGATTTAAGGGCGGTTGAAGATGAAGGTCTCCTCCTTTCCTCGCTCTTGCTCACACCGACGGAACATCAGTTATTTCCAAAGCTGAAATCTGTCGTCGTCAGTTCTCGACCGTGACTGACAAATAAAACTGAGTCACACGCAGGAAATGGGGGGGAAAAAAACGGAACTGAACGAGTTGGAGTCTGTCAAAATTTGGTGGCGCTCAACAGCAGCTGATCTATCCCAAATTAAACATGGCCTGTCTTTTAGTGTGTTAGTGTTTCAAATGGGGTAGGGATTAATAAGTATGTTATACTTCTTCCTACTCCATTTCAGACCTAATAATTGTCATTTCATGTCATTTAGACTCTGTTTTATTTTATTTATTTTCTTTTTTGTTTTATCTGAGCACTTACGTGTGTGTATTTACATATATATTCATATTTGTAAATGCACGTATGTGTACTTGTGTATATATATTGGGTTTTTTTCTGTATATGTCTGAAATAAATAAAAATACAATACAAAAATGCAAGCGAGAATTAGTCATATCCTCCTATGACTAAGCATTCAAGGCTGTTTGAAACATCTGTACGCATCGATAAAATATTCAGTAATACAGCGATGCATTGCATCTCGACTCTGTGTCCTTCTCGTCTCAGGGAGGCCTTCCCCATGGTGCTGGTCGCAAACAAAGTGGACTTGGTCCACCTAAGAAAAGTCACAACTGACCAGGGGCAGGAGATGGCTGCAAAGCATAATGTAAGTAGTCTTTCCTTAAGCACGTGTCCCTGATGACTTATTACCGCCTACAAACAGCATCAGGGTTTTTGAATTATGCAAAGCTTTAAGTTTCAGTGTTTTCATGTTAGTCTGTAATAAACACAGGACGTGTACGGGGGTAGAAAAGCCCAGCGTTCAAGGAAATGAGCAAATGGCATTTATAGGCCTGCAAGCTGCTACTTCTCAGCTTGTTTAGACAGGCAACAGTTCTGAATGGAATGGAATTAATACTTAATCATTATTGGTCTTTCAGAACCATCACAGACTTAAACTGCACATTACTGTAAACTTAAACACCTGACTGAGCTGCTCATGTTTCATATTTGTTTCCTCAGATAACTTATATTGAAACCAGTGCCAAGGACCCCCCAATGAACGTGGACAAAGCCTTTCATGAACTGGTTCGTGTTATAAGGTAACCTGAGGACCTTCAGATCTTTAAAATAAATATGTTGGGATAGGGATGCACTTTATGTAAAGATGGGTCACCACTGTGTGAAAGGCAGCACTTCATTAAAACTGATGGAACAAAAATCATGGTACAGACTGTGAGTGCAGGTTAAACCTGCAAAGGAACGCCGACGTGTTCCCGTCTCATTAAAGATGAAGTGAGGTTTGTTTTACAAGACACGAATTTCAGATTCTTTTACAAAATCCTCCCGACAACCTAAAGGTTGTCCTAAAGGCGTGTGTGAGATGGTGTGGAGGGGGTATTAGTTTGAATGCCATGGCTAATCTGCACATCTGTGACGGTGCTGTTAATTATAAACTTGGTAAAAGGGTTTTGGATCAAAGAGGCATAGACGA